AACGTTTGCTAAGAGTACTCCTTTCTCTAAATTAAGACCTTGCTCCCGGAAGCCCAAGAATTCATTAAGCCATAAATAGCCGTGATCACTTATGATTTAAAATACAGTAATAAAGGAGAAGTTTATGCTGAGCTGTGAGTGCACCATGGGATCTGTCCTATGGTTGACTTTTTAAAGCTTTAGTTTTAAACTCATTCTTCCATTTCATCTGATGGCAGCCTTTTCGCCTCCCAGCCCTTCATGCAAGCTGCGTAATAGCTGTCATCCAAGCTCCCAACACAGCAGGCCATGGCATCTGTCCCAGTGGCGTCAGGGAAAGTACCACATCATCTCAGACCTTCATCTCAGTTATGAGGTCCCAGGCTTTCCCATGAAGAGGGCTGGCTTCATCTGTCATCAGTGGAAAGAGACAGCGAGTGCTCTTCAAAGGTGTATTTGCTGCAGCAAACCCACAGTACCCCAGGAGGGGATTCTCTCATTATTCTGGTAGCTGATGAGGTCAAGGGAATTAACTTTGACTAGCTGCCTAAAGTCAGGACTTAAGTAACTTGATGAAAGGCACACAGCAGTGGTAACTAAGATCTAAACTCAGGTTTCTCTGCCTTGGGAGCCTATCCCCCTGTTCCGGTGAACGTGCACCAGTTTAGCAATCCTAAAGCCATCTCATCAGCTCTTTTGGCGTCTGACAGAAAGACAGATGTTTTAGTTTCCATTTTTTAATCAAAGCCCAGGTTTGACTTCCTGGCGCCTGAAATAGGGCATGGAGCACCCTTGATTCTTTTATCCATCATTTACATTTTATCTTTGATGTATTCAAAGATGTACCAGGAAATGTATATTTGCCCTTAGTTGTTTTTTTTTTTATATCATTGTCACTGAAACTTTGTTAGCATGTACTCATTGCCATTGGACTGGGTTTCATTGTGGCTCTTCTATCTGCAGCTTGGTCCCTGTTGATAGTGACCTTTTCATATCTAATCGTGGACGTATCTCTTGGTTGGGCTATTGTCAATATGATGTTAATGTCAGTGGATTTAAGAAAAACTCTACTAGTAAGAAGTCTTTGGTTATTAATTTTATTAGGTTGTAGGTTAGGGTACCATGCTGTACCACATTGAAAAGTACATGAGATATGGAGTCAGATAGGTTTTGGTTTACATCTTAGGTCATCTACTTACTTAGAGACAATTACTTAGTATCTCAGTGTATAAAGTTCCTAGAACTTGTTGAGGGGGCACTCAATCACTATTAATTTTCTTTCTCATGGTGAAAGTGAGTGTTTCTGTTGTACACCTGTATATGCATTTCCCAAACCTTATCAGATCATGGAAATCTCTTTAGATTTTTGGGATGGATGAGCTAATCCACTGTCCTCGGGTGGAATCACTCAGTGTCGCTGATTGATGGGGCCTTCAGAGTGTCATCATTTCCACCGTCAGTTCTGTTCACCTTCACTAATCCAACGAGGAGAAGCAGCAGCAAACAGCGTGTTATAAATCACTGTTGCTTTCCACCAAAATCTCAAACTAAAAAAATCTATTTTAAACTACATCTTTGCTCATCTTAAAGAGTTGGATTATATACTGTTAGAAATCAGGGACCATTAAACAACCATTTTCATTTGCAGTAGATTCAGAATATAATTATCTTTGAGTTAGGAGAGGATGTGCCGATGAATGCTAAGTAAAGTGCCACACAAGTGGTAAACGTGACGCCGTCCCCGTTTGCCCAGCTAAAAAAACTTACGTGGTCCTTATTCCAAACTTGTAGCTCTTTGCACCTGTAGCTGGGGCTCCCAACTTGAGTCTAAGTCATTCTACCATTGGGGTTTAGGTGTATCTGGCCTGCTAGAGGTCTGCTTTCAGGAGGGACCGTGGAGCCTCCTGGGAGACTCTTTATCCTGGGGAGCAGGGTACCAGGCCTAGTGATCTCAACCAGAAATTGGAAGGCAGGAGTGATTCTGAGTGTTGTGTGGAATTGGTTTTCTTGGTGGTTGATGCTCTAAAGACTGGACAAGGGGCAGGGAACAGGCAGGGACAAAGTGTGGGATAATTGTGGGTAAATAGGGACTTTTGGTAAAAATGGAAATGGCGATTTCACGTTAAAAACACCTTACCACTTTAAAGCAAAAGTAAACAGCTTTGGTAACATCTGGAAAGCTGCTGTCTAATGAAAGCCTAGAATGAGAAACGTTCCCCACTGGTGCACAGAGCACGACTGAACTTCAGCACCGTGGGCTGCCAGCACAGGCAGCCTGAGTGCCCTGTGGGAGTTGAGGTGCCCAGCAAAAGTGGCAGCCGTCACTTACAGATGTGGCTCTGCAGCAGGCAACCCAGGAAACAGGGAGGCCCCTTTCTGTAGTTTAGCTGGCAACAAAGACTTTATTAACTGGTACCACGGGAGGTGGTGAAAATACACTGGAAAAGGATTTGTGCCACATGGTCAAACACGGGTCTTATCTGTGGGCTCACCTGTGTATCTGCCCCAGGACTTCCAGAAATACAGCAGGGACAACCCAGCGAGGGCTTTGGGGCTGGCGTTACAGATGGTGGTCGATAAAATGTGTGCTCCCACCGGCCAAACCTCAGCTCTGTGAGATGAATACTTACCAGGAAGGTGAGTGGAGATGCAGTGGGTCACTTACTCTCAGTTTTGAAAAGGCACCTATGCTAGTGGGTAGGAATGGAGTACTCTTGAGAGGTCATGGGAGAAGAGAGAAAAAGTGTAATGAGGAAAATAACTTGCTGCATCAGATGATCATTTAGTTGCAAACTTTTTCTTTTTTTTCCAGCTTCATTGAGGTAGAATTGACAAATAAAATTGTAAGATATTTAAAGTGTACACAGTGATGATTTGATATACGTGTACACTGTGAAAGGAATCCTACATCAAGCTAATGAACACATCCATCACCTCGCATATTTACCTTTTTGTTTTTAATTTTTCGGTGAGAACATTTAAGTTTTACTCTCTTAGCAAATTTCAATTATACAATACAGTGTTATCAACTGTATAGTCACCATGTTATACGTTAGGTCCTCAGACCTTATTCATCTTATAGCTGAAAGTTTATACCCTTTTACCAACCTCTCCCTTTTTCCCAACTGCAGCCCCTGGCAACCACTTTTCTACTCTCCGTTTCTATGTTTGACTTTTTTTTTTTCAATTCCACATATAAGTGATACCATGCAATATTTGTCTTTCTCTGTCTGACTCATTTCACTTAGCATAATGCCCTTCAGGGTCATCCATGTTGTCACAGATGGCAGGATTTCTTTAAGTAGAATTTAAAGTAATCGTGCCATCAGTATTTCTCAGCCTAGAGTAATGTACAGAATGCTTTTAAAGACTGTTGTTGCTTGAATATGCGTAAACAAACTGGGTTGAAACTACAAGTGATTATACTTCTAGATAACCATAAAGCCCAAAAAGTGCAACTAACTACTAAAAAGACCTCCGTATTAATAGAATTTAAATTAATGATATTAATTAATAGGATGCATGATTTTGTTTTGCTTAAATTAAAATCGGTGCACAAGGTACAAATATGGTGTAGATGGGGCCAAATGGGGATTTGTGAGTCAGAAAGCCTCCGCTACGTGTGCTGTGGCCTGCTCCAATGCTGCCCCCACTCTCATCAGTCTCAGTGCTGAAAGCTGTATCATTCTATGGCCAACCTGTCCTTAATTGGCTTAAGTCCGGGAGAACTCGTTTCATTGGCACTTGCTGGGGAGAAGTTGGAAACCCTGGTAAATCCTGCTTCCTCTGGGACTTGAAGGCTGTTCAGGAGATGGACTGCAGTGAGAGGCAAGTTATCTATAATAGCCCAGAATTCTTCTGCAAATGACTTATTTGCTGATGTTTTCCAATGAACTTGTCTGGCTTTCTAATGTTACATCACAGCATGAATTTTCTGGAAATCTTTGAGACTCAAGAAAAAACATCTGCTTGTAAAATCTTCCCACTTTGCCGTGTGCATTGGGCTTGGGGAAGAGGGGTGAGGGCGAGGAGGGGCCTCAAGTCTTTGCTCTGCTCAGGCAAAATTCATCGCAGAGGCTGTAATTCAGGAGGGTGTGTTGTGAGATCCTTTTCTGTGGCTTGCAGTGTTCAGAATTTGCAAAGAATTTCCCCATCTGCTCTTTCTGTGGCTTGATGTCACACAGAGCAGAATATACTATTCTCATCCCAAACCCTTCCCTTTTAAGAGTGTGCACACTTGTCCAATTTAGGACTAGAACAACTCTTTTTTGCTCCTGCTGTCTGTCTCTTCCTGGAGAAAGAGCAGAGTCTGTATCAGAGGATGGTTTTCAGGATGCCTGGCTCTGAGCTTGTGTCCTGTTGAGCAAGCTTCTTGGCTCTTTCTTGTTTTGGCTTCATTTCTGGCTGTGGAGGTGCTGTGAGCCTTCAAGGACCAGAGGCTTGAGGGGCCCATGGCTGTTTGCCTCCTTGTCGTTCTTGTTTTTCCTCTTTCTCTGTCTCTTCAAACCTGCCGTCGAATGCCTGTTGCTCAGTGATACTGTTGCCATTTCCAGTCACGGCCACCACCTCTGGCCACTCCTTCAGTTCTCATCTGGGCATTTTTGCTTCTCTTTGCTTTTCTCCTTTCTGATGTCTTCTTCAGTGTTTCTCATCTCTTGGGTAAATGAGCGCTCCTTGTATCACCATCACCAGCCAATCAGAACATTCTTCTTTTTTTTCTCAATGGCTGACAGACAAGTTCTGGCATGTGAGGGATAACTTGGGACATTGACCTCTTACTCAGGACAGCACAGGGACTGGACAAGCTGTTAAAGTGGGCTCATTCTGAGCCCCCAGAAGCTTTGCAACATTGGTGCTGGAAGCACTGGGACCCACATCTTCTTCCAAAGGAAACTTTCCCTCAGTGCTCTATTCAAATTAGTCACGAAGTCCCAGCTACATTCCTGGAGCATGGGGCAGAGATCACCCAAAGGCATTCTCTTCTCTCAGACCCCCTCATGGTTTCCATTTGTGAATTGCAGAACTCTCCTGCAGCAGCTGCAGAAGCTTCAGACTTTGGTGATGGGCAAGGTTTCGCGCACCTGCAAGTTGGCCGGCACGCAGACCGGCACCTGCCTCATGGTGAGTTTCCCAAAGGGACAGCACCATAACTGCCCTGGCCCACTCCCCAATCTCCAGTCTCTCCCCAGCTTGCCAAGTCCAAGTGCTGTGGGTTGGAGGAAGCATACAGCTCACTCCCAGGCTATTTCTCTGCTGTGATGTTACAGCGATTGGTCTGTGGGTGCAGTCTGCTGGCCTGGTGGAGGCGGGTCTGTCTCCCTGGACCTCCCAGGTGGTGCAGATCTAAAGGTTTGCTCCGTGGATCTTGGAATTGACAGCTCCTCATGTTCTCCCTCACCCTACAGGTCGTTGTGTTATGCTTTGCTGTCGCATTTGGCAGCTTCTTTCAGGGCTACGGGCCCTATCCTTCTGCCACCAAGATGGCTCTGCCCAGCCAGCATTCCATGTCGGAGCCGTACACAGCTTCTGTCGGTAAGACAGCACTCAGCAGCTTGGGAAGTGTCTTGTTTCATTTCTCTGGAGCTTTCTGAAAGTTCAACTTTCTGAAGGGAATCTTATGTGAAAGTCTAATTTTCAAAAAGTGGTAAAAGTGTAGCTTCTCCATTGAAGGAAGGGAAGAGAGTTGTAGGGAGTCTGTGCCCAGGCTACTGGGGCTCCCCTTGTGCCCCTCAACCATCGGGCTGAGGCACCACTGGGAATTCTCTAGAGCTCGACAGAGTACAGTTTGCAAACTTCTGCTCTAGACTATGTCCCCTGGCAAATTTTGATGTCTCCTCTTTGAGTTCTGATAAGGGAGATAGATGTGGCTTTTTGGGGTGGAGGGAGGGAGCATTAAGTTTTCCACGACATTTTAAGGGAATTCCTGTGTTTCTACTTCCACTCAGTGGAATTGTATATTACTATAGTAAGAATTTGCAAAATAAAATTAAAGAGTCAGTCTGTCTTATGAAACATTATGCCCAAGATTTAGAGAATTTGGAGACTTAGATGTTAGATAAGAAGTATGTGATAGTCTCACCTAGATCAATGATCTCTTTTAAGTATGTAGGAAATCAAGAGGTGGTGTGTAGGGATCATAATACATACACTAATAAGAACAAGTGTGGAATTAGGGGCTATGGGGTTTGGGGTAGGCACAATTTTACAGTTCTGAAAGGCTCGTGGTCTTCACTGGGCAGGTGTATCCCTGCCAGGTATCTGACAGAAATTCTAGCATTTCAACCAAATAATTTCAGTGGTCTCTTGGGACATTCTTTTTTTCCTAAAGGAATATGTCTCTAAATTTAAATGGAAGCCAATGGAAACATAGTCTTTATGTTGTGGAAAATTGCTACAGAGCCATCTAGTTATGTAACCATCCTATAAAACAAAAGGGACTGTCTCCATCATTTGATTTATGGCTTTAGCTTTGTGTCTTCTTTCCAGTTTCTAAATGAAAATGCAGTTTTCTGCCCTTGTACGTTCTCTTGAAAGACCTGCTCATTGGGAATGCTTCTTATTTTAGCTGGGTCTGGACATCTCCAGGTGTTTGACTCCCATTCTCCATGAGTTGTCTCCCCTAGATGGTTATGGGTGGGTAAGGAGGGGGGTTTTATTTTCAAAGTAGTGGGGGTAGCAGTTTGCTTCATGTTTATTTGCTTTTCTATTGTTCTTCCAACACTGTATAATTGGTATAATTTTTCAATGGACAAAACTCTGAAACCCTGAAGCCTTTATAGGAAGCCAGCTCTCATTGGCACCCTCATTCCTGGGCAACAAGAACCCACGAATTGTTTGTCATCTGCCCCCAGCCCTGGGCATCGAGTGGCGGGGGGTGTGATGTGCCTTTGCGGTGCCTCGCTAACGCCTGTTACTTTGCTCTGTCCTCAGTGAGATCCAGGAACCTGCTGATCTATGAGGAACATTCTCCCCTGGAGGAGTCATCCACCCCAGCCTCAGCTGGGGAGCTTGGGCGCTGGGACAGAGGCTCCTCCCTGCTCAGGGCGTCAGGGCTGGAGGCTAGGCCAGACGTGGATCTTCCTCATTTCATTATCTCGAATGAGACCAGCCTGGAGAAATCAGTGCTGTTGGAGCTGCAGCAGCACTTGTGAGTCAAATGGACATAGATTAAACTCCTCTAATGCGCGGATGATGGGCTATGAGTCAGCAACCTGCAATGTAGGGCGTAGACTCTCCCATAGGCCTAGTCCAGTCCCTCAGCTCTTTCAGAACCTGTTTCCAGGACCCGGGACTCTGGAGAATCCACTGCTTGCCAACAGCTGCCCTTAGCAGAGATGAGGAAAAGACCTAGCGTGAGCTCCCCCCATGTCTGCTGCAACATTAGAGAGTTGGTAGTGATGGCTCCAAGAAGTGGAGCAAGGGCTTGAATTGCTTCCTTGCTATCTTCATCCTCTTTTCCAAGCCACTCAAGTAAACACACAGCCCAGTAACAGCAGTGTGCTTGCTATTGCAAATGTAGCCTCAAGGTGCCTTCTCTAGCTTCCAACTGGAGATACATATATATGATGCTATATATCAATATATAGTTTTATGACTTATATGTAAGTAAACATATTAATTATGATTATATATTTATATTTAGATATTTATATGGAGGGACATCATTTGAGAGACACTATGCATGTATGTGTTTCCATATTGAAAATAACATATATTTGGCTCCAATCCATGAGTTGTTTCCTGTAGATAGTTGTGGGGAAGTGTTTTTTGTAAACATAAGGGCTTGTATGACTGCAGAGTATTGTTATGGTGCTAGAGGAGGTACCTGGGAAGGCCACACAACACAGGAAGGAGGGTCTGTGTGGACACTCTTGGTTATGAGTGGTGTGGTTGGTGATCTAGCTGAATGCTCTGCTTCCCAGAAATGATACTATTCCAACGCAAGTGAGAGAGATTGTTTCAAATTCTTTGGCTTTCTTCCCCGTTCCTTCAGAGGAACGTTCATAATTATCTATACTTTTATCTGTTTGCATTATACAGGCATATTTAACATTTATTAGTGCTTACTATTTTAAACATTATGCAAATATGATATATATATATCCTTTTAAATACTTTAAGAAGTTAGGCATTGTTATTCCCATTATAGAGAAATTGTCGAGCTGCCACTGGGAGCTAGAGGAAAGACTCAACTGCTTCATTTCTTGGCTCCTGACGCAAGTCTTCTCCCCTCTTAGCTCAGCTATTCAAGGCCCCATTGAAATCCCACCTATTTTGGGATGTCTGCCAGATACCAAGGCCCTCATAGTCCTCCTCTGAATGCCTAGAGACTTTCTAGGCTGCTACACAATTTAATAACATATATTTTCTGTTATATATTTATTGTTACTTCAAGTTTTTTTTTTTTAAATCTTTATCTAGATTATTAGCTATTCTAGATCAGGGATCAGCTTTTATCCTTTTATTTTCTCCTTCCCCGAGTCTAGCATAGGTCTAACCATCCTCAGTAAATACAATAATTTAAAGCCATTTATAACAAATCAGTATCAAACCACCATGTTTATCATCTGGGTTGGGATGTCTCCTCGTGGGAGAGGATGAAGGTGGGAATGTGGACGAGTGGATAGGCTGGTAGTGGGAGACTTTGGAACAGAGAATTGCCATTAGGAGGGAAAAGGACAGGGACCACTCGTGGGGCAGCCTGCAAAGTTGCAGTCACAGAATGATTATATCAGACTACCAAGCAGGAAGATCGTTGTTGACAGTTGGTGGCTAACACTTTTTCCTTTCAATGCCTTCACAGGGTCAGCGCCAAACTGGAGGGGAACGAAACACTGAAAGTCGTAGAACTCGACAGAAGAGTGAACGCCACTTTCTAAAGAGGCAGTCTCCACCTCCTTCTCTCTCTTCACTCTACTTTTACATCCCCAAACCACCTTTGTCATCAGCTTTTTCTTTTTGTCACCTGATTTGGATGAAGACATGGGCGAGCAGTCGTGGCTTTGGATGGAGGACAGCCTGGGATTTCCCCCTGTGGTGAGAGAGCACCTCCCCCTCCAGTCCCATGTCCCTCTCTGCACAGGGGGCCTGGCATCTCCCCCTCCCTTTCGCTTACTGCCATAGGAAATTATTTTAGGGTCGGGGTGGGACAAGCCGGCTTGTTTCTACCTATAGTGCCAAAAAGATGCTGCCTGATTCTCACCAGGGGTGACCACCTCTTTGGAGAAGAGACCCCGGACTCTAGCCACAAAGATCCCAGGATGCCTGTTGGGATCTGGCAAAGCCCTGACCAATGTCCTGCCTTCCTCAGCCCGGGTATCCGGTGTGTCTGGCCCCGTCAGCCCTGGAAGGCCTGGGCCTCCAGCGAGTACCCCCTGCCGCTCTGTCCTGTCCAGCCCTCGCCGATTGTCCTCCCGGCCCTGGAGCACGGGCTCCGCCTTCATATTCTCAGGCCGCAAGTGCAATGCCTGAAGGAATCAGGCTCTTCTACTCCAGGCGCACCCACCCCATCTTGTTGCTTGTAGGACTTCTCCATGACCTGGGTCCCCACATGCCTCTAGTTCTGCCTCCCTGGCTTCTCCTCCCCATTTGTAAATAGTATTTATTAGCTTGCTGAGGCTTCCTGCACAACCACACTGAAGAGATCTGACGCCTCCCTCCAAGCTAGCAAAGTCTTCTGTTGGCCTTTGGAGCTAGGAGGACACCCTAGGCTCTGGGATCCCCAATCTTTCTAGACCATGTTTCGTTTCCTTTTCTTCTTCTTCTTTTTTTTTTCTTGTTAAACTGGAGGCCTATAATTACAGTTGGGAAATCCCCTTGAGCGTGTGTCCTGTAGAATGAACTCAGAGGGAGAGACGAGCAATGCCCTGCTCAGGCCTGTGGCCAGACGCTTTTTCTGTCCTGTGCCCATAACAGAGCGGGGAAGCCCTGGCCCTGACAACAGGCGTTTTGGACAACCTTGCTAGCTTGTCTCTCCACACCTGCTCCTGGCCCCTTCCCCCACGTCCCCCAGCTCTTCTGCTTTACCCTCCTCTTCTGCCTTAATACAGGGGGTGGGCCTGAGGCCTGGGTTGGAGCAGGTGACATTTCTGTCTCCACAGTCTTACCTTCTATAGTCAGGTTTGGCTACTTTGCAGCTCACCCAAAGAGATACAACCTAACCCCCCAACCTACTTTTTTTTTTTTTTTTTTAATGATTAAAGTAACTCTTGTAGTTTAAAAAAATCTTTCCTCTTTCGTACAAATAAGAAATGGAAATTGCCTTTTTATTGTATCATGTAGAAGACTCCCCTTAAGTGTTTTTCCTTAGCTTGTAAAAGATTTTGTGTAGGGGATTTGCTTACATTGTGTATTTTATTTTTAGTGGTAGCTGAAGGGCCTTTTTAACTCCCCACTCTCTCTGATCCACATTGTCATTGGAACCTGTACTTAGGAGGGATTAAGCCCACACCTGGGCCTTCCATTCCATATCAGATATAGGATTTGGCATCATTAACATTGGCCATCGTACCTCATAAGCAGATCTCTGCTCTGTCTGCCTAGGTACACTTGGGGCTCACTGTGAGTGATTCCTCTCTCTGCCTACTGTGATGGAGAGAGTTCTAGACTGGGAGATGGCCAAGTTCATCTTCTGGGCAGTGTGTGAAAGCAGATCGGGACTGCACTGGTCCCGGCAGCCCTGCTGTCTGCACGGTTCTCACTGTCCATTGCATTGGTCAGGGAAGGCTGAGACCGTCTGAGCTGTGCAGTAAGAGGGGATGCCAGCACGCCCCCTGCTCCTGCTTCTCTCTACTCCCCCCTCTCCTTCTCTTCTGCTCAGCATCCTCCTGAGCTTAATTATCAGGCACAGGCAGCCTGTGGGGTCTAAGAAGGTAAAAAGATAGAATTAACTCAAGTAGTATGTGGACAATGAGAAAAGCAAGGTTTCATATTTAAGGGCAGAAGTGAGAATGGATCAGCCTGCCCACCTGCTGCGACAGAGCTAGATGGGGTTTTTAGGGCTCCTGGATTAGCCAGAGTGGAAAACCTGCTCTTCTGAGCGAGGAGGGAGGAGGGAAAGGGCAGCAAACTTCTAGCCCCTGTCCTGAGGGCCTTGAGGATTTCGTTTTCTCCTGCAGCTACCCGTGCTTGACATCACTCCCTCCAGACCTCCAAGAGCAGGGTTTTCTCTCTGGGAAACTGTTATTCCAGAGCTGAATCTGTATCTAGAGACATGGGATACCAGCCTGAGAGCTCAAGTGGCCATTTTAAGGGGGTTCCAGGAACCAGCACTGCTGCTGGTTTGAGAAAAACCTCTACCCTCCACTCCTTGCGTGGGTGAGGAGAGGGAACTAAACAGTTATGCCTTGAGGGAGACGTAATGAAGTCAAGGCGCACAGAAGAGTTGGATAATACCACACTGGTGTCAAATAATTAATGGATGGGTTCACATTTTCTGTTCCAGGGTTAAGCCCAGAATATCAGTGGGTTTGTTTCCCCCACAGAGCAGCATCCTAGACTAGTCAGTAATACCTGTTTAGCCCTGAAGATTCCAAATAGTGGCAGACGTCAGCTTCCCAACTTCAGTTTCAAAAAATACGAGACGGTCAGCGCAACCGTAAACCATAAAGAATAATTATGTTAATTAAAATATATACTAGTTATATTTTCATCATGTGAACAGGTTTTCCTCTTCCCTTGCTTTGATTACCCTAGTGAAGGAGATGTCTTGCAAAAATTCAGAGAACAAGTACTTTTTTGCTGGATGAGACCTGAGTCTCAGCATGCTTCTTTTCACAGGTCTCACTTTGCACTTAGAAATGGATACTGCAAATGAAAGGCGTCGGGCCGGTTTTTGAGAAGGAATTTCTGTGAAGTGTTAGGACTCTGGATCCTAGCTCACAGAAAGAGAGCATTATGTAAAAACCCAAGGGCAGAACCAGGTTGCTCCTTTCGGGCAGGGGGTGGGGGTGAGGTTTGACACCAGTGTAGGCAAAACTAGATAACCTTTTTGTTAATATAAATGATTTTGATTTGGAGACCTAATTTGTAGATTGTGAAAGCAGCTTTTAGCTCAACTTATTTACAAACCAACTATAAATACCATGTTTTTTCCTTCCTAAATCTTTCGGTTTAGCCTGAATGCCCAAAGAGGGCTGAGAATCTCATGTGCCTGTAGAGTAGGAGTGTTGAATTGATTCGTCTTTATTCTGGCAGTGAGTCAGTGTCCAGGATTTTTGTCACAAGTGTTTCATTAAAATTTTTCAGCACTTCATGGCTCCTTCCACCCATGTCCTCAGATCAACCCAAACCACAGAGACAGGCCCTCTCAGGGCCAGCTCCCCTGAACACACTGTCATATGAGATGTGTACTTGAGCCCAAGGCACGAATGGAGGCATCCTGCTGCCTGTTGAGGAAATGGACCATCCGTGCCGGCCTTGCTAACGGGGAGATTGGAGATGGAGGAAAAGGCTCTCAGCCTCCCTCGTCTACCATGAGTCAGTAGTTTGGTTCCATTGAATCCAGTCTTGGAGAACCTTCATTTAAGGCACGAGCACTTGTGCTTGCAGTGCTGGCTGGACCTGTGGACCCACTAGCAGGTGGTGCCCTGGTGAGAATCATTTTATTTGAATGCTTTGCAGCTGAGACAATTAGGAGACATCTGCTAGGATAAGCCCCTCTGGGAGGGCAGTTCCAGGAGATAGTAGGGGGCTGTGAGATGGGGGCTATGAAGGAGCCAGAGACAGATTTCAGATTTTTCATTCATTCACTCATTCATTCAGTGAGTCAGCCCATCACTCCTGAGGAAGAATGCTGCATGAGGCCCTAGGGAATATGGAGGAATAAAGGGGCTGAGGAAATTTCATTCGTCAATAGATATTCAAAAGACACATGTGCTAGGTCTCTCTCTCCCTCTTTCTTTCTCTCTCTCTCTCTCTCACACATGGACGCACACACACACATGCACACATACACATTCCTTCTTGTCTTAGACACGCCCTTGTGCCTTACATATGCCTTATATATGAATCCAGGATGACTGAGGACTCCCTTGTCCCTGGGAGATTTTATATACAGCCTTGAAGTATTAGATTGAAGTGGGTGTGGGAGAAAGAACTTGTTTCAAAGTCTCAAAAATGGTTTCCTCAAAGTGAGCCATGGTCAGATTTGCACATTAAGAGAAAAGACACAGGGTTATGTCCATTAGGAAAATCCCATTTTGCAGAAGTGCAATCACATCAAAAATGGCCAGCTGGCATTAAAGGTATTATAAATTCTCACAGCAGAACATTTTTCTCGGTGCAAAGGATCCTGGCTCATTTGAAGATTAATGCTCGATGCCTCCGTGGTCAAGGGGTTGGCACTTAGCACAGGAAAAAACTAGATGCTGTTTCGTTTTGTCATTTGGGGCAACATAGAATTCAGGAATGCTTTATTTTGTCTTGGTTTCTAGAAGGAAAGGAAATAATATTTCTTGAGTATTTACTAAGTGCTGGGTGCTGTGCTAAATAAAGTGTAAGTCTTTTCATTTTATAGAAAGAGTAAACAAGGGCAACTAGTTACTATGAGATGGATAAACAGCTAAGTGTCATGGGAAGTGCAGCAATTTGTGGATTAAGCTGAGTGGATTCCTTACTGTGGACACACTATGAACTTTAAGGTTCTCTGGACAGGAAATGCAGCGTCTGCTTCCTGCGCTGGCCCTGCTGTGCAATGCTCAGTTCTTTGCCTCATACTGGAGATGGCCACCGGATGTTCATCTCCTGTCTTGTTCATGCAATCTTCTGTGAGTTCCAGCTAGCAGGCTTTGCATCCTGGAAAAGAAAACCGAGGGGTTTTAGCTCTATTTCTCTGCTTGTATCCTTTGCTCACCAGCTGGTTGAGAACATGAACTTTTTGCACCATGGATTCGTGATCTACACTGTTCAGAAAATCTCCCTTTCAGATAAAATGCTTTATGAGTCTATGGAAAACACCAGCACTCTTTGACAAATTGTGAGTGACCCTTTTTAAACAATGCTTAGCAGACCCTGGACTGTAATCAACCGTGAGCTTTAATGATATGCTGACAGACTGGGCTTTCTTCTCTTTTGTAACAGGTTATATAGACCAGCAGTGTTTAAGTCTAAATACATTGTGAGTCTATTATCTGTCATATTGCGCTGTTTTTTATGGCTTTTTATTCTTTATCATAGCTGAGTAAATACCAAAAAAGAAAAAAAAATGCTTTGTAGGATACTTATACTTAGTTTGGGGGAAAAATGAATTGGAATTGGAATTGTTATGCTTTTGTATTTCCATTTCTTGCAAATAAAAATATTTTTTCTTAAATAGTAAAATGTTGTCCAGTCTTTAAAATCCTGGTAATCTGGTTTTAAATGTATTTTGCTTTTCTTATGAGCGTGGATTTGCGTATGTGTGCCTAACCGTTCTTTCGTGATTATCTAGTCAAACCAAAAGAAGTGTCTCAAACCAGCAATTTGTATATTATCTGGTACTGAATCCAAGTCTCAGTTCAAGGAATACTGAGAAGTGTAATTGTTTTTTCAGTCAGTCACAGGAAGAAAAACAGTATTCTCTAGAGATTTCTGTTGCCTGACTGCTATTTTTGTTGTCTCCTACAACTGTTCCCTAACTGGATTTCAGAACTCGGTCAATTTGATTTTGCTTTCCCCATCTTGGGATGCTTGAGAATGATGGCTTGGACTTCAGCCAGAAGAGAAAGATCCTTCTTCATATGAACAGTTGCAGAGGACGCCTAACACAGATTCATGCTCCAGAAATTCTGATGAAATGGTTGATAAAGGTCAATGCACTCAAGCAGAATCATCTTCATTCCATTGCAATCTCTGCATTCAAATTTAGTTTTCTCCACTCGGAGGGAGTGGGGCTTCATTTAGCCTCAGAAAGAGTACCCAGGATGTTAGAGACTAAGGCCATGGACCATGCTTACCTGGGGAAAAAAACCCCTTTTTACTTCTTAGCAGCATGCCTAACCCTTTTTGGGCTCGGGGGTGTATTAATCTCCCACTGCCTTTCCCCTCTGAGCACCTCGGCCTCCTCTTTTTCTGTCCCTACGCAAGAGGCCTTTCCCTGTGGAGGCTTTTAGTAACACGTCCTCCCTCTTTCTTTCTTATTTTGGGAGCCTATTATGGAAGCCTTCTCCTCAGCATGCTGATATCATGCCAGTGATGTGTGGAGGGGGC